GCCTTCTTATTTAGGACCCCTGATAGAATTATGATTTATCCCAAAAAACTAAGAAGTACCAGCAATTTAAACTCTGAGTGGAACTTACCTCCTCGAAGAAGTATGGGCCAAGAATAATTGAACATACTTTTGGAGAATGCAATGGAATCTCTAAGACAGGGCATGGATTTTCTAATTCCCAAATTCAGCAGTTGTGAGTATTCACTGCACCATCCGAATAAAAATGCACTTTGTCCTTGGAACCAGATTCAAGCATCAAAATCATATGGAAGCAAACACTGCTCTAGTAAAAGTTTGTAAGGATAATATGGAAAGATATTCTCCAAGATCTTATAGACAGTTGAACATGGTCTCTCCAGCAACTTTGCTATAAGCTGAACCCTGGTGCTGGTCTGAAATTTTGAAGCTGTGTCTTCTATGACCTGAAGCGAAATCTCCTGTACTGCTTCTGCAGAAACAGCTTTCTTCCTGTTCTGAAGGTTTTTAACATTCATTGGACCTCTTAGAATCCCCTTCAAAGTCTGAAATTCCTGAAGAGCAATTACTGCAGAATTACTGTTTTGGTAGAACAATTTTACTAACAAAGCACGATCTCGTAAACTTATCGTCATTATGAACAACATACATGTTGAAAACTCTGCAAGTAAGTCTCTGCAAATGTTTCTAGGTTTTAGAACAGCTGCTGCATGATGATGACAAAGATTTACGTTTTCACTACAGGTTTTCAAAGTAAAATGCCTCTGGTGATGCTATTTGTAACTAATTTTTTTTGGGATGGGGGGGGCGGAAAGAAATTCTCATCCCTTCATTAAGTCCACTACATTTCTGATCATTGGTTTCGCTTGTAAGCAGCTTCAAAATAATAGGGTTCTTTAATTATAGACACCTGTATTACTAGAATTTTCTTGTATTTCTGAAAGGCACACTCCACATTTGCAAATATACTCACGTCAATATTATAATTATACAAAATTTGAGCAAAATCTGCACGTATATGATTGCAACTCTCCTCACAAATCATGGTGTATTCGAAAATTCTGGTGCATAGCTATTTTTAAACTATTAGATACATAAAAGAATCACAGCATTATGTCCTGGATATTATTAACATGAAAGAAGAAATTTTTAACTCCCTACTATTCCTGTCTGATTCTTATATTGCATGGAAATGAAACAGTAATAAAAACCTTAAAGTTAAAAAAAAAAAAAAAACTTTTATTTTTTATCAGATACATGAAATTCTATAAAATTACATATATACCTGTATATATCTAATTATGCATATATAATCAGAAAAAATTATAATGTTATGTAGTACAATAAGAAACTATAATAAGTATGAATAAGAGATTCAAAATGCTCACAAAACATTTTAAAATTTTTTATTCATATTATTACAATTATAGTTTTACATTTTTTTCTATGAACAAAAATAATTTTATTGTGTAATACCTTTACATGTAGAATATCTGATAAAGTTTGGGAAAATATTTACTTGCTACTGAAACTGTTTATATGAAAAGTTATATAATTGTGCATGTCTTGTAAAAAATTATCTATTACTTAGCATACTTAACCAGAATACCGATACACATTTCTTCAAATATATGCAATATAACCGAATATATTTTTTACATTACTTGATAATTCACATTAACTTCAGAGTGGAAATTGAGAAATATATTACCTGACAAATTAAAATATTCAGTATTAGAACTATGCTAATGAAAAATAAATTTCAAGTTTTTGCACTTATGTTGAATTAGTTTTCTTAAAAATTTTTTATATTTTATAGCTGTTGCTTTACAACATTCTGGCATGTTATGTAATCGCTACTATAAATGTAGAGTTCGTGCCATTTTTCATCAGATTTTCTCTTCCTGCTGCTATAAGACCCTTACTGCTGCTCTTCCCGCCTGACTGTCTTTCTTTCTTTGAATAGTATGACGCAGCAAATGTAATCCTATTTAGTCTAAATTACCTTCGTGTATGTAATCTTGGAAAATCTAAAAGAATAATGATTTGCCATTCAAATTGAATAAAGATGTGGAATCAAAACAGCTAACTTCTTCTGTGCCATCATTTCATGCCAAGCTTCATTCATGTGCCTGACTGCCAAAATATTACAGTTTATTAATTAGCCTGGTAGGATTTATCTGTGTGGGAAAACACTCTTCTGGATTTATTTTATTCATCGCACTGCTAACTTCCATCGCCTAACATAAAGTGGATCAAGGACAGTCATTCGCATAGTGGGTCAATCATCTGCAGGCAGAATTTCCCTGTGCTTTGCTTTTCATTGGCTTCGTAATGAGGTGTCTTCAAGTGTGCCGCGATATGCCGTTAAATCTTCAAATATGGCGTGTATGGTGTTTAAAAAATGTCATCGAGTTTGATGTCACGTTTTTGTCTTGTGATGTGTGCCTAACTGCCAAAATATTACATATATATAATCAAAATGAATAAAGGTTTACCACATGACCTCCGTTATTAGGTATGCGCAAAGCCCAGAACTATGGTGTGTATAGTGTTTAAAAAGTGTCATTAAATCTGATGTCACATTTTCGTCTAGTTATGTGCGCCCAACTGCCAAAATATTACATATATTTAAATCAACATGAATAAATGTATACAACATGACCTCCATCATTAGGTATGATATAATTTAGATAAGCGGCAAAGCCCATAACTGTTATATATGGATACTTTACACTTGGATGGAAGCTAATTCAAGTGGCATCCAGTTTATCTAGATAGATGGATTTCATTTCATCACAAATTGCATCTTTTGGCTCTTATATTGGAGGGGGTCAATTGATATCCAGACATTTTATGTACCTTCACAATGAGAAATAAATTAGTGTCAAATCTGGAGGCTAATCTCTTGCAGCATTTATTAATAAATCTCCCTTTCCAGATATTTCATTCAGAATTTTTCCCTCCATTATAGGTGCAATTGAACTGATAAGCCTGCAAAAATATGCTCTTAGGCAGGATATTTTGTTTTAGAAAAGACAATATGACTTACTTATGGATGTCATGCTTTTTTTCTATACAGTGAGAAATGAGAGATGTCATGATATACATCTTGGCTTGTTATACTCTTTACACTCTGCAATCTTGGACATAAACACTTGTTTGAGCTGTATTATACCTTGTGCTGAAGTTCATATCAAACACCTACTATTGTAAATTGCAAAAATGCATTTTTATCATTTTTCAATGTCACTTATATGCAAGTTTTCAAATTATACTTTTCTTTTATTCACGGGGAGGGGGGCCTTGGCAATATTTATAAAGCAAAGATTTTCCCCCTTTTACATGAACATTTCTGGTTTACCCTGTGTAGTATCACAAATCTATATATGATCCAATCAACTAGATTATTCAAAACGGAAATAAAACATTTACATAACATGCCCTTTATTTCTATTTAGAAATTTTCTTCTATTATGGTACTGCGTTTCATCTTATGAATCCTTTTTTCCTTGAATATAATAAATAACAGATGATTTTTGTTTCATCGAATTATTTGTCTTCAAATTTCATTTTGTTAAATCAATAATTTTTAATGGCATCAAAAATGTAAGTAATGGTATCTTATACACATAAAGTAACTATATGAATGATGTGTATAATAAAATTCAATATCATGTAAATTATAAAAAAAATGCAACATTTCTTGATGAACTATTTTACCATTTTTACTTCCTGCACTATTTACGATATTTTCAATTTTAACAACTTCATATTCAATAGATGTTATGTTTGTTTCTGTAGAAATATTGCATATGTTCAGTTCTAAATATTCTTTTCATATTGAATCCTGAATTAAAACACACACACATATTGTTTAACATACTCATATTCAAAATTCAATTAAAAACTCTAAACCAGTGGTTCTCAATTTTTTTTTGGCCCCATGGACCACTTTCACTACTACTTAAAGATTATTTTCTCCCTTTTCAAAACTTGAAAAATACATGCACATTTATTAGCCCAAGAAAAGGGCATTAGAATAAATGGTCTATTAGTTTCAAAACGGGATTTTGAGTTGAATCTATATAAATAGTGTATCACTTTTCACATTATTGCCACCAAATATTATTGCCCTGTATTACATTTGAAGAAATTAAATAATGAAGAATCTGCATGAATGTTTTACGTAATGGGAAAAAATGACGGCACCTAGGGAAATCAAAATTTTGAATAATGTAGTCCTCTACCTGAACATGTACACCTGGAAGCCCAAATTTTTAATTCTGAATTGGTTTTATTATCTGTTCTAAAACTTTAATGAGCTTTTGATTAATAAACTCAAAAGATCTGAAAGCGAGTAGTGGCAACACTGTAGTGAATAAAACATTTCTATCTCCAGCGCACGAGACTATTTATCGAAAATTTTGAAGACATGTTGTTTGCAAATATCTGGAGATTTTACTGTTGAGTTGAATTTTATGTGGTGGAAATATGTAGGTCATAATATTTAATACATAAAGTTAATACACAAAACATTAAGAATAAAAAGACAAAAACATTTTTTTCCAGCTATCTTACTAAGAAAACTAGGCACTGACATGATGAACTGAGAAAAGAGTGAAAAAAAATAAATAAAAATGTATGCCAACACTTAACTGTGCATCAGGAGTTCTAAATTTTGTTAAATTTAAAAAAAAAAAAAAAAAAAAAAAAATGTTATTTTGCTAAGAAAACTGAGCACTGGTGCAATAAACTGACAAAAGAGTGAAAAAATATATAAATGTATGCCATTATTTAATAATGCATCAGAAATTCTAAATTTTGTTAAATTTAAAAAAATGTGATTGTACTCTTGAATTGTATATGGCATTAAGTGTGAAGAAAATTATGGATAATAATTAAGCTAAAAGGACAAAAGAAATGGGTTAGCAGGAGTGAATGCAATAGCAGACTGAATAGACTGTGAGCTCAGCAAGAGTGTAAAAAAAACTTAAACAAACCCTTTTGAGCAACTTCTTTCAGATTTTTAAAATATTTTTTTATTGTTTTTGTTTGTTCAAAGCTTTCTTTCAGAATAATAATTGACAACTTAAAATATATTCTTAACGTAAATTCTGAATTTGGATATGATTGAACTAAACTGAACTCCAGAAAAATGTTAAAAAATTCTGATCCTGCTCTAGCAACAAAATTTTTTAAATAGGTATTTTAAAATTTGATATTCATGATGGAATATTTAGATGGGGGAATTTCATAGTTTTAGGGGATTAATGCAGTCAGCCTTTTATTTAGATTTATATAATTTTTTAATGGCACAGCAAGAAGCAGGTGGGGTCAGACTGACCACATTTCCCCCCTGAAACTATGAAATTACCTCCTGAGGGAAAATCTCCCCTCGTTGAGAATCTCTACTCTAAAATTTCAGTTAATTTTAATGCATTATTTATACAAAAAGTAAATTTTAACAATCATTTATGTAACATATATAATAATAACAGCCATATAAAAATCTATAAATATTTTATGTTTTATTATAAAGAGGCATGCACTGAGGATTATGTTTAAATTTGCCTTTGTTTTCTAAAATGCTGGAAGGAGAACAAATCCAAGGATCATTTGTTCCTCTTTGCCAATTAAGTAAGGAAAATTTCAACTTTCTTTGTACTGATTCATAAAAGGGATTCATTGCAACATTATTTAATTCATACGGATCTATTTTTAAATCATATAATTCCCACTGCGATCTGTAATAATAACTAGTAAGATTTTTATACCAATTAGTTTCAATTTTTTCTTTTGTTCTATTTAACAAATCCTGAAATGTAGGAGAAATATAAAAGTCTTGATCTATTGGAAATGGCATTTTAAAATTTAAATTATGAATCAATTTATAATTCTTGGTGCGTATAACTCGCATTGGATAATACATTGTTATTTCATGTAAATTGTGACTGCCAAATACAACATCATTTGTTGAGATTTTTGAATTCGTATGAAGCAGAGACTTCCCAGTAAGTTTCACAGTGTTTCCATTGATTTTATAGTCAGGATATGTGATATTAAACCATTCAAGAATAGTTGGTGTTATGTCTAATAAGCTGACCATTTCATCAGATATCTAAAAAAGCAATAAGTGAAACAAAATTTAAGAAAAAGTGAAATAATCGATTACTAAATTATATTTAATATGCAATTTACTAATAAATTGCGTAAATTTTACACTTACTTTATTCCAGCTGTTTTCCTGCTGAGGAATATGTAACAGAAATGGTTCTGCCATTCCTGGATCATATAGATTAGTTCGACCACTTGGAAAAGGAATTCCATTGTCTGACGTGTATATTATTAAAGTATCATTCTGATAATTATGGCTTTGTATTTCCTTTAACACTAATCCAATCCCTAATAATAATAAATTTGATACAAATTTTAAAAACAAAAATGTAAATGCAAATGATGGAGGGGGGAAAGAAAGGATGGAGGGGGAGGGAAAAGAAAATTAGAAATTCCTTTCTAATGTTTTAATTATTTCAATCTTTGAAAAGTTATTTTAAATAATTTTCCAAAAAGGAAATGCAGAATATATAATAAAAATATTTATTAATTTCATTATAGCTACCAAAACCCACTCTGAAATAACTGTTGTATTTAACTGAAAAAATAGCATTTTTAAAAAAAAGAAATAAGAATATGAATAATTTTAAAATATCAGAATTTTAAAATACATTTTCATATTCACACTGTACTTTTAGGGGAAAAATAATATTAAATTAAAAGGATTTTTATTACATGCAGCAAATTTCTATTAAGAACAGACTTGATATGAGGGAAAAGAGATGAAATAATATGATTTCCTTCCAATATAGAATTATATGATATATATAATATATATATATAATAGTATTAGTATAAAAATTACACCTTACATTATTTATACTAAGAAGTATATTAGTATAAAATATATATGGTTCTAATATGCTAAAAAATGTTTTAAAAGATCTTAAAAAAAGGGGGACCAGGAATAAAAGTAATTCAAAATATACTTAAAACTATATAATTCACTGTCTAGTACTTAACAAATTACACAAGATGAAAATTTTGCTATATGATAATGCTGAATATTATTTAATGTAGAGAATGATGTAGAATATATCAGTATGAAAGAAAAGGTACTTAATACATACTTCTTACAACAAACAATAATGTGGAAATAATTTACACTTCAATGAACTAAGAAAAAATTAAAGGAAAGCATAAAAAATCTGAGTTTTCAGATAATTCTTTTATATTACAAAAAAAAATTAATTTAATAAATATTAAAATAAATAATGTTTAAGCTTCTCATTGTTTTATTGACGTAGTTAATACAATAATATATTAAGAAGAGAAGTAAGTATATGATATTTTTTCCGTTAGTAGAAGATAAAAAGACCTGTGATATGCTTAACTCATGTCATCGTCAATAAGTATCATAACTAGATAAGAAATTTAAATAAAATTATTAATGGATATATACACACACATACATGCATAAAAATGAAAATAAAAATTATAATTTAAATTAGCAATAGCCCTTTGAATATTCAATTTAATTTGGGGATTTCCCTCTCTATTCAAAAAACAGTAATTGCTCATAATAATTTTCTCTGGACTGCATTATTTATAGATTGATCCAAATCATGACTTTTACATAATGCTGATAATGTATATTGAACTTCTCTGACAGACAATAAGTTTACAGCATTATTAATTATCTAATCAAAATGTATTGAAATTGAAATTAAACCACTCTGAATTAAGATTTCGTCCTAAACACACTGCGCTTTGCTTCTGCATTTTGGAATAGCTAGACTGATGCTTGCTGCCTCTTTCTTACCAAAACAATATAAAAATAAAATCATCAGGAACAGGCAAAATTAGTGTGGCAAGTTATCCATGACTGCACATGGTTAACTAAAATAAAGAACTATTATTTAAATCTGCTATGACTGCTTTTTATTAGATCAGCTACATCAAATTATTGCTTCATGCTTCAATATCTCATGCCTGCGACATTCTCAAATCATCATCCAAATACACACATACACATATATAAATAAAATAGCTATGGATATATATATATATATATATGATATTTTGGCAGTCGGGCACTGCTTGGCTGAGTGGAATACAGCAGAAATAATGACACAGAAGAATTTCACGTTTTACTATTCCGTATCTTTATTCCAATTTTCAACGCAGATCATTTTTACTTTAGATGAAATTTTCCAAATTACATATTCAATAGTGATTTTAACTAAATACGATTAAATTTAGACTTTCTGCATCATAACTATTCTAACAAAGGAAAGATGGGTTAAGCACCAGCGAAGCGTTGTAGCGCAAGAGGATAAATGCAAAATGAAGCAATGGGCAGCATGTAGCATTTGGTAGCATGTATCTGCTACATGCTGCCGCTTTAACTGCCTAAGTGAAATAATGGCCTCAGGCGATGCAAAGTGTGGGATAAGGGCGATATGCCCCGCCTTGTAGGCGAACCAACATGAGCACTTTCAGTACACAAGTGGAAAAAGACAAAAATCAAACACCTGGCAAGCCATTCAAGCTGCTGATCAAGAAAAATCAGTAAAAAGCAGTTATAGTGGCATAATCGAAGACAATGGTGATGTAAAATTGAAGAAATGCTGACACAAGGAGATGGAATGTGGATTGAATGGCACAGAAGGGAAGTGGTCAAACAACAAATACAGGTAAGCATTATACATTTGGTAATAAAGTCCAAGCATTTAAAAATTTTAAAACACCAGGTAACTTTCCAAGCTTTAACATTAGATATAGTTAGTAAGTCTGAAAATTAAAATAAAGTCTTTGTTGAAACAGAGCGAGTTGGAGAACAGTAATAACAAGATACAAATTCTTGTTGTAAGTGAGCGTGGTCAGTTCAAGACCTTGATGAATAAAGTACACAATAAATCTATGTATTGGTGGGAGATTAAAATGAATGAACGACCAGGCAAAGTCTCTATCTTTGCAGAGACACGGTCTATAATACCCCCCCCAAAAAAAAGACAAAGTTCATCTTTGCGGAGGTTGAAAAATACACAAAAAGTACAAATACACAAAATATGAAAAGTTGACAAAGTCTCTATCTTTGTAAGCACATTACACTATACACAGGTGTGCAAAAATTAAGGACGAGACGGTTTTTTCAGTATAACTTTGTACAAAAGCTTTCCAAATAAACACATTTAATACCGTAAGATCCCCAATACGTAACGACATGAGTAATGTAAGCAACACTTACTAAAAGGGAAATCAGAGGGATAAAGAGAAGCTTTATTGAAAAAGTAGCATGGAGCGCAATGCGACTGAAGGCCGAAACATCCCTGTGATGGGTGTCCAGCAAGAAACATCCGGTCTTTAATAGGGGATATGATCTCCCCTGACTGCTAGGCAGGTTTCACAGCGTTTGCCCATGCTGACAATGAGTTGTTGACGCATTGCTGCCCATTCATCTTGCAGCGTCAATCAAAGCTCCGGAATCGTTACTGGTGGTAAGGTACGAGCTGCCAAGCGTCTGCCTAGAAAATCCCATACATGCTTGATGGGATTGAGATCCGGAGATCGTGCCGGCCAATCCATACGTTCAATATCCTCGCTCTCTAAGAGCTGTTCGGCAGCTACTGTGCGATGACATGGTGCATTGTCGTCCATGAAAAGGAACTGCGGACCCATAGTGCCTCTAAAAAGATGCACATATGGAAGAAGTATCTCGTTACAATAACGGGTCCCGTTGACTGAACCTGCGTCGAAGATGTAAAGGTCTGTACGATTACCAAGCATGATGCCTCCCCAAACGAGAACACTGCCACCTCCATACCTGTCCCTTTCAATGATGTTCGAGGGATGATTGCGGCTTCCCCGCTCTCTCCAGATGAGTATGCGATGAGAATCGCTACTCAGACTGAATCTGCTCTCATCTGTAAAGAGTACTCGTCCGCATTCATTGTCTCTCCAATTCCGGTGTTCCAGGCACCACAGAGAACGCCTTCTCCGATGGGCAGGCGTTAGAGGTACACACCGTATAGGGCGTCGTGCAAACAGACCCACCGTGCAGTCTTCTGGCCACGGTAAAACGCGATATCGATCGTCCAGTCGCCTATGTCGTGTGTCTAGCGATTTCTCTCGCTGTCTGTCGCCTGTTTCTTCTGGCCTGTAAGGCAATATACCGGTCATCTGCGGGTGTGGTTCCTCGTGGATGACCACTACTAAACCCCCGGATAGCTGTTCCTGTAGTTTGAAATTGTCTCCAAAGTCGTGAAAAGACGCTGTGAGCAATTCCGAACTTTGCAGCCACACTGCGGCCTTCCTTCAACTTCTCAATGATTCGACCTCGGGTAAAAGCATCCAGATGTCATCTAACAGATTGATGATTCGCCATTTCTCGCTGAGGCAGCAACTCTGTGTGATTTTAACTGCTATACGGCATGCAATCTCTTTGCCAGAAATACTGATCTTACACCGACAACATGCTTTATACTACTCAGACACTCCCCCATTACGTCTACCTGCATATGTGCACATGTGCTACCGTACATCACCTTACTTAATCTCCTGATTGGTCTTTCTGTCTGCTCTACCTCTTCGTTTAGCTGATATGCTAATTTTTCGACTTCGTCCTTAATTTTTACACACCAGTGTACACAAAACAAGTCTCTATCTTTGAAGAGGTACAGTAATTAAGATACAAAGTCTCTAGTTAAAGCACAGTTTAAAGTAAAAATATCATTTAAAAACACAATTTTTTTACTCCATGTAAAGTAAAAACATGTGGTTATGAAATAAAGTTCAAAGAGCACAACACAGGATGTAAATCACTGGCGTTAAAAAGTCAAATGGCTTTGAAGAACGTCAAAATCCTTGAAGTTGAGAAAAATAGCCGATTGGCTAAGTCCATAACATATCAAAGTAGATACACGTAAGGTTAAAATCAAATCTTTGTAGTATAGGTAAAGTAGTGAAAATTGTAGTGAAAATCTTAAATCTTCACCAACTGGGGTTGTGAAAAATTTCATGGGGCCTTTTGGCCGCATTTTTCCCTTGACAGATTGTGGCAGGTGGACAAAATTTGGTTGTCAATGGATTTAATCTTCAAATCTTTGTGTATTTGCAAATTTCGAATAAACCAATGTTCTCTGAGAATCTTGTTTTGAAAGATCTGAAGTTTTCTACGATAAGTTTTAAAGACAGGAACAGCATAGAGCAGAACAGGATGGATTAAGGTTATGTAAATTCTCTTCTTGACTCTAATACTTAAGTTAGATTTCCTGCCAATAAGCGGTAGAAGTGAGATTTTAGCAGCAATTGCTTTATGATAAGCTTTCATAGTATGTTTTTTTTAA